ATCATTAATTATGGCTTATCGTTTCATATTCCGTGAAACCGCCGATGACTAAGTATATATATATATATATATATATATATATATATATATGGGGAGGTCTTCAAGCATAGAAATGAAAAATTCTCGGGGAAGGAAACTCGTATAAGAGAGGTGAAAGATGAGGATGATTTGGTGAAGCACAACAAGTTTGATGCATTTTTTTGGGAAAACATGAGGAACTTCGAGGAACACTTTGGAGTTATGACCTGTATGGTGAGTTACACGTGTTTATTTTTAAAATGGTTGTATGCCTTATTATCCAAAAGTGGTTTGAAGTTGCTCGAGATTTTTGATATGCTACATATGCGTGAAAAGTTCGATATTTTTATAATATGTGCTTTGAGTACTGGTGTGTCAATGGGGATGTACTACGGCATGATTTTGTAAAGACGAGCATGCTTTGTGAGCTTGTCTAAGCCGTAAGTGCGGACATGCTGTGTGAGTTCGCCAGTAATGCTGTGTGAGTTCGCCATGTAATGCTGTGTGAGGTAGACAACTCCCATGACGCCGTTGTTTTGTGATGTAGACATGCGCTAAAATATCTTTATTTTGTGATAATCACTATTCTCATCAAGGCATGCTAAATTTATGAAGCTTCGTGAAAATTGTTTTTTATAAAAGTTGTTGTTCATGCATGAAAACCGTAGATTCACTGGGCCTAAGGCTCACCAAAAACTCTTTTAAAACTTTTTCATCCAGGCGGCTATTAGACTGGAAAGAAAAGTTGGATAAAGAGAGAAATAAGGATTAGCATCAAAGAAGGACATGTGCAGATCAAGACATTGTTATATCGAACAAAGTATGTTCGTCAAGATTGTAAGTTTAGATGGTGATATAAATTGTAAGATTAGAAATTTTATTTCAGCTGCAATGTAAGTGTTTGATCTTGGGATATCAATTTTGATATATTTAAGTATTCGAAATTTTGGGATGTTACATAGAACAAGCACAAATGCCACAGTTTTTCCTTACGAACTTTGTGATCTTGATCTATAGAAGCCAGATATGAAAGAGAGGTTAATCATGTAAAGTTTGATCATCGAGAACCATGGTCTTCTTCAATTTTTTTTGATGCAACACTCAAAATCTTGTATTGATGCACATTCCGACATTTTGTAGACCTGTGATGTATATAAAAGAATGGACCTCGATAATTACAAAAAGAGATTTAGTAAATGATGTCTATTATATAATAAGTTATAATTACATAATAAAATGTCCTTGGTCTAAAGCTTTTATTATACTATATACTAACAAAAAAAGGTCCGCTGGCTCCAGAACGAGGGGCGGCTCCAGAGGCGTTGCCGCAAGCATTGGACCCTGACAGATGCTCGTTCCTCCATTCCCAAAAAACGAACCTGTATCTTTAAACACATTTACTTTTCATTACCTAATATCAATTGTATCTGGGTCTTGAATGAGAGGAAAAGACATAAATTGACAGAAAAAAAAAAGACCCTTGCATGAAGGGTACATAGGAGCTTAACAAAGATGCACTAAACGCCCTGAATAGAAGAAGAGACTTAATTCGCGATAAAATTAAAACCACAAGGACGACCCTTGTCATTATTATGTTTAAAAAACTTGATCCGTAATTTTTACCAAATTATAGGGACAGAATTTGTAATTTACTCAATAGTTATATGTACATATACACGAATCTTCTATAATACGTTTGTTGGTTCTAAAAACAAAGTAAAAATTTGTTTGTGTTATTTTGATTCGTTTCTCAAAGTAAACCTTATCAAGAAACA